TTGGCTTTGCTCCAAGTCCTCCCTGAGCTCAGTGCAGCTCAGAGCATTGAATTAAGTCATCATCCATCCTTCTGTAGGCTGACAGTGGTCTACCCTATCGCATTCTATTGCATTCTTGCTCCCTCTTTGTCAGGAGCACCCCCAACCCTCAGCACTCATCTTTGAGCATTGTAGCTTGCAAAAACCCTCCCAAATCAAAGGTTCTACCATCTAGGTACTGCATAGGCATGCCACCACTTGCTTTCATTGTCTTTTGTGTTGGTTTTGGTTGGTTTTCACCACTGAACCACAATTTGACTCACACTGCTTGTACAGTCCAACACAAACCATTGACCCTGACATCCTCATCTCCCTGATCATTGAAGAGTCAGAATGGCAAGGCCATAAAGAAACTCAAAACTCATGAGTGAAGCAGAAAGCTTGTGATGGCAATGAAGCCTTGGCTTTGACCCCTGGGAATTACTCCAGTTGGGGGCAAGGAAATGGAAGGAATGGAGTACAAGGGGGAAGTTCAAGAGGGCATGCTTGCCCACAAGGAACCTGCTGGAACTGTGGGTCAAGGGAACACTACAAAGTGCAGTGTCCCAATCCAGACAAAACTAAGAAAGAAATGCAACTTACCACAGCAAATGGATCTGCACACACTGTAATGCTTGACTCTGAAGAAGAGGGTGCCTATTTGGTGCATGCCCTGGGGGAACTTGACAATGAAGTCCCACTCCCTGAACTACTAAGCATATCATCATCATCATCATCATCATCATCATCATCATCATCATCATCATCATCATCATCATCATCATCTGATGATCAATGCTGCTTCATTGCTATTGACAATGACTGGTTCAGTGACAATGGGGATGGAGATGATGAAGACCTACCCCACAATGACACTTTGGGTGCTGTTGAGTCCACCAACACCCCCTCAGAATTTGTGAACCTCATAAATGATAGCCCTATCAGTGCACCTGTCATTGAACTCTATGACTCTGGATCCACTTGACACATCTCCCCTTACAAGGAGCGGTTCAAGGGACTAATGACAATACCACCCAAGATGTTCTTGGCTGCAAATAAACAACTTTTTTAATGCCATGGCTATGGGGGAAATAGTCATTGAAGTACCAAATGGGTACAACATAACCAAGCTATGGCTCACCAAGGTGCTGTACTCTCCTGAGGTTGGGTATACTCTAGTATCCATCAGCCACCTTGATCAATTAGGCTACTCAGTTACCTTTGCTGAAGGCACCTGTACCATCAGAAACCCCACAGATGACATTGTTGGTTGCATCCCTAAGTCCAAAGTGTTGTCCACAACAATGAACATGACAGTGCAAATGCAGTAGTTGAAACTGTAACTGTGATGGAGCTCCACCAAAGGATGGGACATATCTCCCCATCCATCACACATCACCTAGCTGAAAAAGGGCTCACTGTCAGGATTAAAATTTGACTTGTCAAAAGATGAGCTGACCTTCTGCAAAGCCTGCATATGCACCAAAGTGACCAGAAAACCTGTTGCAAAGGAGCACATTGGAGAACAGGCCACTGAGTTTGCTGAAGGTGCATACTGACCTCTGGGGACCCACACCTGTGGAAATGCTCAGCAGATGACATTACTATATCACCTTCACTGATAATAAAACACAACTTACCTACATCCACCTCCTTCACCAGAAGAGTGAGGCTTTCACTGCCTACAAGGAATTCGAAGCCTTGTGTCACACTCAATACAATGTTCATGTGAAAGTCCTCCACTCCAATTGAGGCAGCAAGTACCTAGGGAAGGAATTTGTGATGTACCTGAAAGCAGCTGGCATGAAACAAAAACTCACTGTACATGACACTCCACAACACAATGGTATCACCAAGCATCTCAACTGCACCTTGCTAGAGAAAGTTCATGCCATGTTGCACAAAAGTGGCCTACCTTGCTCCCTTTGGGGTGAAGCAGTGCATCATGGTGTTTGGTTGAAACACAGGACCCCCACCAAAGCACTTGATGGTGGGACACCTCTTGAAGCTGTGACTGGGAAAAAGCCAGACCTCAGCCAAGCCTGCACATGGGGCTCAAGTGTCTGGGTACATACTGAGGGAGGAACCAAGCTTGGAGGATGCATCACAGAGGGCCAATGGGTTGGGATTGATGACAACAGCCCAAATAGCTGTCATGTATACTGGCCTGAAAAGAAGTCAGTCACTGTTGAAAGAAATGTGTGCTGGAACCCCTCCTTGGCTGAGCCATTACCTCACGAGGGGGAGGAAGAAGATGGCTACTTACCAAATGTGATGCTAACATCTTCAGCACCTGTCAAGGAGACCAAAGCAACCCCAACCCCTCTGCACACTGCCACAGCTCATCCCCCAATCCCATTGCCTCCAGCCAAACCACCTGTCATGAAATGAATTTGAAAGTCTAGCCAATGTCTTGTGGAAATCCTTGCTGGCAAGGGAAGCACAAATTGCCATGGTGTACCTGAAATACCTATAGGAGTTCAGCTCCCTACTGTCATCAAAGATCAAGTCAACCCTGCCAGACCTGAAGGGGAGGATGGAGCCACAGCCCTGCTTGCATCCATCATAGAAGACCTGGATGACATTCTTTGCAACATTGACCTTGCAATGACCATGGATGAGGTTACTGCCAAGACAGAAGCCCTTGAGCCCAGCTTGCTAGCTGAAGCTTGCTGTCGCCTTGACTGGCCACAATGGGAAGAGGGGATCAAAGAAGAGTTAAAGACACTGAAAGATGCAGGTACCTGGGAACTCATTGACTTACCCCCTGGTGCCAACGTCATAGGTTCCAAATGGGTTTTCTGTGGTAAGAAAGATGCTGCTGGAAATGTTGTGTGATATCAGGCTAGACTCGTTGCACAGGGCTTTTCACAGTTTGAAGGAGTTGATCACTTTGACATGTTCACACCAGTGTCAATGCTTGCATCAAATCTGTGTTGTGCTTGCAATGGCTGCTCGCTCTGATCTAGAGCTCCATCAGATTGATATCAAGGGAGCATATCTAAATGGCATGCTCACCAATGATAAAGTAATCTATATGTGCCAGCCCCTCAGTTTTGAATCTGTTGTCCATCTGTGCAAAGTCTGTTGTCTTCACAAGATGCTGTATGGCCTAAAGCAGAGTGGCCATTGCTGGTACCAAAGATTAGTGGAGATATCAGTAGACAAGCTGAAATTTACCCAATTCTCTGTCAACCAAGCCATATACTTCCAACATCATAGCCCTGGTGAGCTCATGATCATCATTGTACATGTTGATGACTGCACCATCACTGCAATGCTTCTAAGCGAAATCAAGGAGTTTAAAGTAGACATCAGGAAGCATGTCAAGATCACTGACCTTGGTGAGCTCCACTGGTTGCTCAGGATAGAAGTAATGAGAAATAGAAATGAATGTTCCATATCATTATGCCAGCAACCCTACATCGAGTCAATTATCCATCATTTTGGCTTCAATGAGCTCAAGCCTGTGTCAAATCCCATGGAGCCTAGTACCAAGCTTCACTTGGGTCAGTCACCCTCCACTGGTGCTGAATATGCTGTGATGAAACATGTACTGTGCTGCAAAGCCATTGGTTCACTGATGTATGCCTCACTTGGTACTCATCCCAACATCTCATACACCATGACCACTGTCTCTCACTTCTCTGGGTATGCATTCCTAATCGACAGTAGAGTGGTATTGTGGTCTTCAAAACAGCAGGAAATCATTTCATTGTTGACAATGGAGAGCAAGTACATGGCAGCCACCCATGTGGCCAAGGAAGCCTTATGGCTTTGGTTGCTCATCAGAGAGTTATTTGGGCCACTCATCAAGCTGACCACATTATTCTCCAATAATCAATCTGCTATCACACTCATGAAAGACCATCAGTACCTTGTGCACACCAAACATATTGACATACATTTCCATTTTATCTGCTGGGTCATCAAAAATGGCAAGATCTGTCTGATCTATTGCCCCACCACCAATATGATTGCAGACACCTTGATGAAAGCCTTGCTGTCACCCAAAGTGAAGCATTTCGCCATCAAGCTCAGTCTACATCCAACTTGAGGGGGAGTGTTAGATTTGGCAAGTCATACATAGTCCTTTTCCAAATGCATCCACTCCAAGATGTGAGAATTACTTTCCATTTTAAGGCTTTTTAATATTCCACATTACTATTGAGTGTGCAATTAACTTTTGTGCCCTTATACTGGATAACTTTCTGTAGGCTGAAATATTTGTGACTATAATAAATTTGAATAGATTTTTCTCCATAAGGCAGGTGTGCTGCAATGCTGAGCTGTGTTGTACAGCAGATTAAATCTGAGCACCCTTGAATAAACCTTAATCTGTGAGGAGGGGGTAGACCCTCTGAATAGATTTTCTAATGAGGAATAAACTCAGGACTACCATATTGAGCCACTACTCCTACCACACAACAGTTATGTCAGCAACATGTCCGTGTCACCTTTTGACCTCCTCCAGCTATCCATGCTTTTCAACATCAATGGAAGCCATGCACAGTGTGTACAAACCATATTTCATGGACGTAATGTTGTTATGCAACCCATTCCAGGGCACCTAGTGCTCAGAGGCCATCATCAGAGCACATGGTGTGCAACAAGAATGAAAGCAACCCTGCCAACTCTGATGCCGCAAATCAATGCTCATGAGGTGATTCTGTCCATATTCCACATGTCTCTAACATTTTTTCTTGTTTTTAGCAAGATCACTGTCTGTGATCATGACACCTATGTCCAGAGAATGCACACCACATGGGCAGGATGACAACCAGGTACTGTTGGTACTCTCAACAGTACATATTCCTTGTATTTATGCTTTCTAGCCCTAGTATCTGGTATGTAGCCTTACTACTGAAGAATGTAAGACCATATGGTGCATAGGAGTACCAAAGGTTTAAAAGCTGTCTGGCTTGGGAGAGGTGAGCCTGTGCTCTGCATTCTGTCACAACTGGCTGCCTCACACTACTTCTATGGCTGCTACTGGTCAGATTTCCAACCCACCTATGCCATCTGGTGATATCAAGTATGATGATGGTGGAAATCCCTTTGTGCATGATTCAAGTGGTGCATGGATCCCACACCTGATTGCTCAAAGGTATGTCTGTTATGATTTCATGCAACCACATAGTCACTTTTAATTACAGCAGCCTGTTCATCATGTGCTCCAACTGGATCACTACCAAGCTGCCTGCACCACCCAAGGGCCTGATGAGCCTGTTGAGCATGCATTTGAGGTCAGTGTACATGCATTTAAGGTTTCCAGCTTCTGAACAGCAATTACAGCACCAAGGCATGCATCCAGGTAGTTTGTGGGTTCCATCAATGTCACCTGCAAATTTCCAGCATCTGCCCCTGCCTGCCATAGATCCTGCACTCATGCCACTCCCATCTGGTCGAGATGATGATCTTATTATTCCATCCTTGATTGCCCAGTCCCAGGGGAGAGCTGCTTCCCCAAAAATTGCTGGCTCATGTTGCCCTGGCAAGGGTGGTTCTAGTGTAAATAAAAGTAGAGCATCTAAGGGAAAAGAGAAGGGGAGTATAGGCATGCCAAGGTCAAAGAAGTGGCAACAGGACGTCATTGACTTGGATGATGAAGAGGAGATGAAGGTGAAATGTGGCCAGCCTCAAGGTGCTGGAAATTACTCCATTGGTGATATGAATGCACTACTCAAGTGTGTTGAATAGGAACTTCCACTTGGACAATGGGGATGGCAGGTTGTCACAGCCAAGTTCAATAAGTGGGCTTTGAAGCATGGATAGCCTGATTGAAAGACAATGTCCCTTGAGACAAGGTTTAAACAGGTGTGAAATAGGTGTCTAAGTCTATGGTCTATCTCTCATGAAGTTCTTCAGCTTGTCAGAACACCCAAGCCAACCAGAACAGGTGTCTGTCCCCCTGAGGTCTTGCAAGCCCATCATGTTGATGATCTCATTAATGAGTGGGCAGGAACTTGTGAACTGAATGATTCTGACTTTGAAGATGTGGCTGAGAAGCCTGACAGTTCTGATGAAGACAAGGACAATGTGAAACCTGATGGAAATACATCTCATATGGCTGTTGCTTGTGCAACTTGGACAGAAGCTCCCTCCACTCATCATAACACATGAGGTGTTGCTGCTGCTGAATTGATGTCTCACCTTTCCACTGCCTTTGATCCAGAAGTTGAAAAGGCACATGATGAAGAATGCAGCAATCATGCCCTTGTGACCACCCAGTACTTGACACTTTCACAGCAGCTCTGCGATGCACAGCTGACAAATGATAAATTACACAGCAAAATATTTGATCTTCACAATGAGCTGTATGAGATGCAGCACAAATATGATCATGCTCAAATGCGATATGAGATGCTTAAAATGACAGGTACTCAGCATTGTCAACCAATCAGGATGTACCACAATCAGCCTAAGCACAAACACCAGGGATACAGGTGGTTCGCAGATGGTGGTGAAGTGATTGAATGGCTACCAACAAATGAAGAAGAAGCTAATTGGAACAGAGATGGGTACCATGCCCCAGATACCATTGCTGAAGCCAGCACAAGTATGTCATCCACATGAGCTTTAATGCTGCAAACTAAACAAAGTACAGGCAAAGAAAAGTTCTCCTTTGGGGACAGTTCTGAAGTCAAGTAGTGCTTGTAGTTACATGCACTGCAATGTCAAGTGGAAGTGAGAGACTCAATCCTTCCTTACTTGATCAGGAAATAGCATATCTCTAAACCCCATCCATACTTCTATATCTTCTTTGGTCTCCTGCCAATGCTTTAGATATACTGATCAGATTTGATTGATTCCAACCTTCTCTGCTTGAACATTGTGAAGTCATAAACAAGTCTCAATTAGGTTCCCATGCTTTGCTTCATGATTGATGTTTAGTGGCACTTGAAGTCTTCCAAATGAGCCTTGAATGGCTTGCATGCCCCACTCTGCAGTTTGTTGGTATGAGAGTAGTTCTCAATTAAATGCCATAGCCTTGGCAATCTGGTCAGCTGTTCCCACAACCTGTTAACCCTCTTTCAAAGGTGTGCAAATCCACCCCACAATGTCTGCTGTGCCTCAGGGGAATGCAGTGTCAGCAACAAGGTAAAATCCATCTGGTGTTTTCCTCCATAGTGTTCCATATATGGGTAGGGACACTCAGGAGTCATGCCAGCTACCTGGAGCATTAATATTTGCACCAATGATCAGTCCTTTATAAGTGTCAGTTTGTGTTGGCATTGTAATTTGGATATTGAATATACACTACCTTTGGATGAGAATACAATCACTGAGCTAACAAAATGTTTGGACAACCAGCCATTAAATGTAGCATTCTCAATATCAAGATCATCCAATGTTTTGACAGGAAGCTTCAGTCCATCAATGCTTCCAAAGGCTCCATGGAGTCTTGGGTGTTGCTGAGTCACCAGCTCTGACAGCTCCTCAAACTCTCTGGGCTGTGGCCAATGGATCTGGGCTTTTGGCATATTACAAAGTGTTGAGAGTAGGATTTGGAGTCCAAATGTAATACAGTGGCTCACAAAATTGTCCCAATGTTTGCATGTTTGTAATTAATCATGGTGTAGTGAGTGAACTATCATTATTGAGTCTGAGGTGTTGGTGGATGGATCAAAGTGTCCAGTCATGGCTCTCTGATGAACCATATTACATAATATTTGGATAGAAACTGATGACAGAATACCCAAATGAAAATGAGAGCTCATTGGGACAATTACATAACTTTGTGATATGCTGGGGATGTAGTCCTTGGGAACACATATAAAACATGGTGAGATGCTCACCAATGCTACATAATGTATCACATGGTCTACTGAATGATTTGTCAACAAACACACAAAGCCAAACAGTGATTTTGCACCACTAAGCCTCCTTGCTGTAACACAAGTCAAGAAATCACCATTCTGGCTCATCAGGGACATTCTCTCAGGGCAACCTCAGCAAATTCTGGTGAACACTATAGCATAATCAATAGAATATGCCATCAGCACCATTGGTCACTTCACAAACCTGCTGACAGTTATCTCCTGCACTGTTTCCCCACCAATGCCACATGTGTCCTAGAACTATCAGTACTGTGAGAGCTGAGAATGATGTGGAGGTCCAATCTTGCATTCATCCTATCATAAACAAACAAATCACCCATTAACTAGTGCATTTCTGTGAAGGGGAGACTGGTATGGAGGTCAGGGTGAAGCTAAACCCTCTCACACTCCAGGTACCATGAGGAGGGATATGCTACTGAACCACCAGGTTGCACATTCATGGCCTTCTATCTGGCACTGGATATTTTCTTTAGTCTTATATGACCAAATAACTCCTTCCCAGTGATCCCCAGTTCAGCTCAGAGTACAGTCAGGCCAACCCTCCCATGATACTGGGAGTGCCCAAGAGGGTTGTGCTTCACCTGAGCCTTCAGGCAGGCTTTTCTTCAGCTGTGATGTAGTAGTTAGTGGGTGATTGGTTTGTCTGTGATAGGATGAATGCAAGATTGGACCTCCACATCATTCTCAGCTCTCACAGTACTGATAGTTCTAGGACACATGTGGCATTGGTGGGGAAACAGTGCAGGAGATAACTGTCAGCAGGTTTGTGAAGTGACCAATGGTGCTGATGGCATATTCTATTGATTATGCTATAGTGTTCACCAGAATTTGCTGAGGTTGCCCTGAGAGAATGTCCCTGATGAGCCAGAATGGTGATTTCTTGACTTGTGTTACAGCAAGGAGGCTTAGTGGTGCAAAATCACTGTTTGGCTTTGTGTGTTTGTTGACAAATCATTCAGTAGACCATGTGATACATTATGTAGCATTGGTGAGCATCTCACCATGTTTTATATGTGTTCCCAAGGACTACATCCCCAGCATATCACAAAGTTATGTAATTGTCCCAATGAGCTCTCATTTTCATTTGGGTATTCTGTCATCAGTTTCTATCCAAATATTATGTAATATGGTTCATCAGAGAGCCATGACTGGACACTTTGATCCATCCACCAACACCTCAGACTCAATAATGATAGTTCACTCACTACACCATGATTAATTACAAACATGCAAACATTGGGACAATTTTGTGAGCCACTGTATATCGAGATGCTGTGCTTGGGATGATGGCAAATATTTGTTGTAGGCTGATCTCTGTCATTGTTGAGTTGAGATGGTGTAACACAAGACCAAGGGCACCAGCTGCATCCAGAGATTGGCACTGTGGGTGTGGATCACCATGGGTAGATGTATCATCTCAAGGAATAGGCATATGGTACCATGCAGCAGCAAATCCAGAGATCAGGATGTGACCAAAGGTTTCCACATCAAATCCCATGGTTGTGATGAATGCTCAATCATCCTGGTTATCAAAAAGCACCTGCCATGGTGTATTCAGGTGTGGATTGGGTAATAATTGAGATCAGCAAAGGTAGAGCTGGGTTTGATGGCAGTTTTCAATCTGTACTTTTCACCCTACTTCAGCCATTGCAAGTATTGTAGCTGCACATAGTGCACCATCATATTCTTCATCCTCCATTCCATCTTCATCCTCAGTAGCAGCAAGCAAGTTGTTAAAATTGTCGAGATAGGTAGGATCAGACATCATCAAGAGATGAGTGTTGACATAGATATGATATATTCAAATTATTCTACCCTTTTAGCCCACAGTTTATTTGTCTGAATAAACACTTTGATTATATTAGAGTTCTGTCTAGTTTGTAGCTCCAAGGTATTATATTTGGGATTATTTCAGCTTGTGGAAAGTCATCCACTTATTGTGTTTACAGTGTTTTCTATCACTTGCAAATAATGTAGTGCATCTCAAACAGACTGCCCTTGACCCCATGTAGTCCATTTGGTCACAACATATAGGTAGCCTGCATGCCAAAATGCCAACACTTATATAGACCCCACAATGGGCCCATCCAAATAGATTAGCCATGACACATGGACAGGTCTGAGGGCCTATAGTGAGAGCAATATATGTATGGGCCTGTAAGCACAATTCTGCAACATATGGGAGGGCCTGTGGAGGGTAAGGATGCTGCAACATATAGATGGTCCCATGACCAAGTAAGTATGCTGAGCTACTGTAAGACATGGATGGGCCTGTCCATGGTAGGGTGTGCCCCAGTCACAATATCAGGATGGGCCCACCTATTGTATCATGAAGAAGGTTGCAACATATGGATGGGCCTGCCCATCATATGTTTATAGGGTCACAACATAAAGAGGGGCCCCTCTATGATAGATTACAGAGTTGGCAACATATGGAAGCGCCCATCTTTGGGATAATATACCCTTGTCACAACATATAGACAGGCCTGTCCATAGCAAGATGTATGCCTGCTGCAACATAAGGATGGGCCCATCAGTAATATCATTGACAGTGTCACAACACCTAGATGGGCCCATCTAGTAAGATGCATCCCTCCCACAACATAAAGACAGGCCTGTCAGTAATATCATTTATAGCATCACAACATATGGACAGGCCCTTCCATAATACCAATTATACCATCACAACACATGGGTGGGCCTGTCCATAGTAAGATGTACCTGTCACAACATAAAGACAGGCCCTTCAATATATATCATTTACAGGGTCACAACACATGGATGGGCCCATCTAGTAAGATGCACCCATGTCACAACATAAAGACAGGCCAGTCAGTGTTATCAATTACATTGTCACAATAGATGGATGAGCCTGTCTAGTAAGATATGCCCCTGTTGCAACATAAGGACAGGCCCATCAGTAATATCAATTACATGGTCACAACACATGGACAGGCCCATCAATAGCAACATGTATGCCTGTCACAACATAAAGATGGGCACATCAGTAATATCATTTACAGTGTCACAACACATAGATGGGCCTGTCTAGTAAGATGCACCCCTGTCACAACATAAAGACAGGCCCATCAGTAATATCATTTATAGCATCACAACATATGGAAGGGCCCTTCAGCAGTATTATTTATATGGTCATAACATATGGATGGGCCCCTCAGTAATATCTTTTATATTGCCATAAAACAAGGATGGGTCCATCTAGTAAGACCCACCCCTGTCACAACATAAGATGGGCCCAACAACAATAGCACATATAACATCACAACATATTGATCAGTGTAGGAATAGGTAATAGAAGATACCTAGAAATAGTAATTATCAGTAATGGGTGAGTATTTGTGCTCAACCCAAAAGGGAGGTCCTGTGTGGAGAAAGAAAGGTGTAGTAAAAAGGTAAAAATGCGAACTAAAATGAAGACTTAGCTCTGGGATGTCTTCCTACTGATCTAAATGTCTTGCCAGTCCTCCTGGCCCTTTGGGTACTCCCCAAAGTAATAATTCTATCCTCAAAAACTCACTGAAATGCAAGACAAAATCACCCTACTACTGAGGGCCTGTGACATGAATTGGTTTCCTTTTGGTAAACTGAATGCATGCAAACACAGCACACATGCTTAGTCAGCATCATGGCTGCTTGCCACCAAGTCCAGTGGTACAAACACAAAAACAAAAGCAAGAAATAAAACACAAATCCCCCAACCCCTATTTTCTTCCAACCAGGACAACTTCTCCTAGGGAACTCAAACTCATTCCCTACATCCAAGGGGTGGTTTAGAATTTGACCATCCTC